TCGAATAAGAACTAAGTAGAGTTGTTTCGTTGTTTCAATATTGATTAGTTGTTCAAAAGTAGACATGAACGAGTCCAATCAATCTTAGTAATGGTCAGAAAAAGAAATTTGATCTCAGTTCTGACACCGTCTTGCCCATATCTCGTTGAGAGACTTTCCTTGTTAAATACTCACGAATGTCCTTCATTGAATATTTTCAGTCAAGGACATTCTTTGAGTTAAACAACAATAAATTATATCAAATCATCATATAAAATTTGTTACAAGGTCTTACTATCTTAAAAGACTCTTATATGATCTTGTATCCATTTATTTGATTAATCAATCCATCGATGCTCTTATCAAACTTAACTACATTTTTTTCTCATATATATACTAACTCGATTCAAGATACAACAATCAGTTCATCTTTACAAGATATTCATAGCTAGCTTTGAACATTAAAATCTAATATTTATACATTATTGCTTAGCATAATCATTATTATTTCTACTTAATTGAAAAAAAAAAAAAACTTTGCACTCAAGTCTCTTTTACATAATAAATTAACATTTCTTTTTTTTTAATCGTTTAATGGAGCAAAATAATGCAATATTGACATACATACTTCTATTTTATGTAAATATTCACTTAAAACCATTAACTGAACGATTCTATTAAACTATGAAAGAAAAAAAAATTTTTTTCATTCAAACTTACCGAAGTATTCCTGTAGCATTTTTAAATACAGATGGAAATTTTCCTTGTGGATTTAAACGTCGATTAATATCAGAATCCCAACCCGAAAAAGGAATAATTATATTTTTAACTAGTACATGTAAACCTTCATCAAGTATTTGTCCTTTTAATTGTGGTGATGATGATGCATTCCAAAGAACAGCTGTAACTGATTCTCGAACATCTTCATAGGGTGTTCGTCGTAAAAGATGAATTAACGCTGGAATACCACCACGATTTTTAAGTTCAATCTAATGAAGAAAAAAAAAAAACAGTTTTTTTTTTGTAATTTTATTTTGTTTTTACGAACTTTATTTTCATCATTTCGTTTTCCATAACATAAATTTCTTAAAGCTCCACAAGCATTTTTTTGTATTTCAGGTTTTTCATGTTGAAGTAAAGCAACTAAACAAGCAATTCCATTTAATGATCTTGTTTTAGATTTAATATTATCATCATTAAAACATAAATGTTGTAAATAAGCAGCTGCATTCTCTTTAATAACATCACTTGTATGACTAAGATATTCAATAACTTCTTGTAAATCAGGATCACGCCAACGTTGTTCTAATTAATGAATATATATAAATTAAAATTAAAAAATAATACAAATAAAGAAAATAACAAAATTAAGCAAAGCAAAGCAAGGGCAGAAAAAAAAACAAGCAAGGATTATATCATACCTCGAAATTCTGTATCAATTGAAGGTGATCGTCGTCGAGAATGATAATCATCATCATTTAAACCATATGATGCATACATACGACTTAGTGTACCATAATCTTCACCATAGCCTGGAGGTGCTGAAATATGATACGATGGTAATACATTGATGGGTTTACATATACAAACACTTATAGGAAAACATTGTTTTTTTCTTTTGAATATAATAAAAGCAATAGTGCCCCAGAAGCGAACATATAATTGTATCTAATTCTTACCTTGTCCAATACTATCAGGAGATTGTCGTCCAGCTGTTGGTAATAATGCACGACCAATACTATCTGGTCGACCTGGACCTAAACCTTCATAAGGATTTTCAACATCAAGATATGGTTCATCAACTAAATTTGGATCATTTGGATCATAATCAATAATTTTTTCATCAGTACTAACTAAATAAAAGCATTAAATTTTTTGATAATTTTTCAAAATAAAACAAACTTTTATTATTTTCTGGTTCATTATAACGTGTACCAGTATAACGTTGATCAAGACTCTCATGTATATAACCATTACGTCCACTTCCATTCATATGTTGTGGTGGTATTCTTCCTGATGGTCGACCATTTAAATATTTTCCTCGATGATCATATTTTGATCCATTTGTCATTGATACTCCTGTTTCACTTCTATCACCACCAGATGCATATGTACTACGATCAATTCGATTTGTTGGTTGTTCATAATTTGAAGGTTGTTGTTGTTGTTGTTGATGATGATGATGATGTGTAGTTGTTGTTGTTGTCGTTGTTGAACGTTGAGATGAACGTGCTGATGATGGTGAATGTTCATCATTTAATCGTAATCGAGATCTTAAAATATAAACATTTTTTTTAAATTTCAAAAAAAAAAATCTTCAAAATTTACTTTTGTTGAGTAAAAGATGAATTTGGTGAAAAACCAGTACTTGTTTCATGTTTTGTTATAATACCATTCGTTGGTATTGAACTACCTTCATAAACAATATGTTCATCTGACCATGTTGTTGGTGTTGGTTCACCATATTCAGCAATTAATGCTTGATATCTTGGATCATCTTGTCGTATAAGTTCACCAGTTAATGGATCAATAAGATGACGATGTACACGTGTTATTTTTTGTATTTTAGTTACTTTTGATACTTGTTGAGATTCTTCTTTTTTACGTACAACTTTTGTTCCATCAGGTGTTGTTTCTTCTTCAACTGTTGTTGTTACTTTAACTGTATTTGATTGTGGTGCTTGACCATTATCACCGTCTGATGTATATGTATATGTATAGACAAGACGTTCACGTTGTGGATCATCTGTCGTTGTTTCGCCGGGCATTTGTAATTACAAATAAATGATGTTCTTATATAAAACGACTAGAAACAAAACACAACAAAAAAAAAAAAAAGGTTATGAGATTAAATCAGATAAAGTAAATGTCAAACAATGAATAGATGTTTGCTTTTCAACAAAAAAAGAAAAAGAAAGAAAGAGCAATAGACAGAGAGAAAAAGAGTGAGAGAGAGAGAAAAAAACTCTTTGCCAAGTGACAGGTGACACTTGTTGAAATATTCTTATGTAAGACTCTGACACCAATACTCGAGAAGTTATAGCTCGTTTGTATAGGCAATCGAGCGAATACAAGAAAAAAGAGAAAAATGAAAGAATAAGTTGTTGGCCTTCTCATGAAAAATAGGGCTTTGATTAGGTTGATGTCTGTATTTTTTTGGAGGTGAGAGGGGGGGAGGCCGATGAAATATTGATTATTTATCGATTCGTCACATCCAACGCAATGAAACAAAGGTCGAATGATGAAATAAAATTGTCTAACACATATAAATATATGTATATATATATATACATACATAAATAAGTAAATGAATCAAACTAATATCTTATCGATATATATCTCGAAGTTGACTTCAGTTAGACAAAAAGAAAAAAAAAGCTAATCATCACGAAAGAAAATAGGATATGAATCCTTTCAAGATATTGTATATACGAATAACCTCTTTCGTACGACAAACTAATCTTTTACTATAACTAGATGCCCTAGTTTACTCGACGAATACAAACACAACAAAAACGCCTGGTCAAATGTGTATAGACACCTTCTATCTTAGCAAATAGATTCTTTTTTTTTGTAGATTTATGCTTCTTCTATGTATATATACGTTTACTAACGCCTACATAGAATGTTTATCTGCCTATTAATCAGCATTGCTCACTCACTATACTATCAATCGATAGTTCGTGCATTCTATTTGTCTCTCGTATAAGTAGTATGTAATAGTCTTTTCTTGACTATCATATTCTATAAGACATAAGACATATGGTAGTCAATGCGAATGTACGATTTTTCTCGTATTCAGTAAATAGACTTGTTCTCTTTCTCTCGAATTGAATCCATTTCACATACACACTTGATTGCATGCAAACGATAGAGAGAAAGAAACAGAGAGAGAGAGAGAGAGAGAGAACCGGAAAGAAAATATGACAAGTCTACTATTTTATATGTGCTTGGAAGTCACCAGTAAAAAAAAGAACCTTGAATGAACAAAAATGCATCAGCAACAAGATCAATAGAGTAGCTTACCGCCAAAATTCATTTTTTTTTCTGTATGTTTCATATCAAACATATTGATTTGCATGTATTCTTCCTTCTCATTCAACACATCTCTTTTCATGCACGCTTAATACAGATATAGAGAGATAGATATACTAATACTTGAAAGCAGAAGCAATAGTAGTAACTCTCAAACGTGCGCACCCGACCACATACTTATTATATTGAAAACTTGCGTTCTCTTTTTCTCGTTCGTTCATACACATTGAGTAGACATAGAGAATGACCGACAATGAACGTTGACCAGCAAGGGAATGAGTAGAAACCGAAAGAGAGAGAGAGAGATACAATTTGTTGTCTAGCCGAAAGAAAAGAAAGAGAACAGACGACAACATCGAACAGGCTTCTAATTGAACGACGTAGACATTCATCTTTTCTTTTTTTTTTTTTTTGGTTGTTCCTTGGCATAAATCCAAATAAAAAATAAACAGACATGTTTAATAATAAAACGAAACGAGAAAGAAAGAAAGAGAGATGATTTCACATTTATATGTCATTCACAATCTTTATCAAAAGAAAAAAAAAAGATGATTGAAGTTTAATAAATAAATAAAATAAATTCTCACCTGAGTGTGACAAAAGAAAAAGAAGAAATTCTACAATGTAAATTAATAAATAAAACAAAAACTAAGATGATCTATTAGCAATTGATCTAAAAAACAACAACAAGAAAAAATTTTCTTTTTTTATATTATTTTCAATTTCAAATTGCAAGATTATACAAGATGGCTAGTGAAATCAGCCAACGAATGTCTCTAGCAAATCAAGAAGAGAGTTGTACAAAAAAAAAGTGAATATCGAGCGACATCATCACTTTAATTTGTCATAAACAATCCTTTTTAGCCTCTAAAATATGAATCAACCAATGAATAATAAAAAGGTGAATAATCATCATTTTTTTTTTCCTTCATTCGTTTACTTTTATTTATTTTAACGTAAGAAATGTCATAACGATATACATTTCATTAAACTCTTAGACTAGTTGTTGTTAGTAATGAAGTTGTAGGTAGTTGAGGAAAATCCGATAGAAATTTCCATAAACCAGTTTCAGCTTCATATTCAGCAATAATCATTGAAAGAAACTTAACTTCACCATAATTGTTACTTTCCATTTCACTAAGATAACCAATTTTATCATCTACTGTATCAATATTTAACATAGCTCCAAGTAATGTTACACATGGTCGATGTGTAACAATAAGAACTGTTGGTGGTGATGATGATGATGCTGATACTTTCATACTTTGATTAATAAGTTTTGTTGTAATTCTTTTTAAAACAGTATACATTCGTTTATAATATGCTGAACGTGATTCACTTGCAATAATTCTACTATTTGATGGTGCTAATACTGGACGATAATTTAAATCAACAAAAAAACCAGCTGATGAAAAAAATTCTGCTGGTTGTAATGGTAAAAGTCGTCTTGTTGGTTCATGAAGAGCAAGATCAATTCTTAATGGTACTCGTTCACGTCTACTAAGACCATCAAGTACAGCATCAGCTGTTTGTACACATCTCATTGCTGGTGATGTATATACTCGATGAGGTTTAACACCAAGTGAACGAAAAAATTCACCTGTATGATGAGCATGAGCTTTACCATGTCTTGATAATGGTGTATCAAGTGCATATTCATGAGGATTTGTACGTGTTGGTAATAAAGTTGGCATTTGTGTAAGATGTGGTGAATAAATACCATTGATAAATGCTTCTTGTGGCCAATTATTAGTTCTTAAAACCGAATCTAATCGTTCGGAATGTCTCATAATAATAATACGAGGTCTATGCATTGATTGTTGCTGTATGATGGTTTCCGACTATTAAGTTATAAAATAATACACAAATGCTGAGTTTTTTTTCGCTCTCTCTCTCTCTTTTCATTTCATATATATTGAGTGTCTGTAGATATGAAAATTATTCATGCGAATCTTTTATGGAGTATAGTTTGGTTAGAAGAAAGAAAGAAAGAAGGTATTTGCTGATGTCATTACCTTCATCTAAGTTTTTCTTTCGTTTTTTTTTGTATTCGTTACACATAACGTATTTGCGTGCTGCTATCATAATTAATTGAAAAAAAAAAGGTTTATATGTGATCGAGGACTAAAAAACATCTACGTCAATGACCATGGGATTTGTTTCTATATGATTGTCGCTTTTAAAAAACTAGATAAATAATTAGAATGATATGGATATATATGACGAAAAAAGAAAAAGAGATTTTATCAATTTTGTATGATAACAAGAATATTTTTTCATTTTACGTATGTAATTATTAGAAAAAGCTCGTTAAATTAGTATGATATCTATTTGTTTCGATGATTAATGTTTAGATTTGAAATAAATATTTCGTAAGAATTGATTAAGTACAAAAAACATGTATTAATTGAAAAGTAATGATCATTTTACGACTCATTTATTTTTAGTAGTAAGACCCTATTAAGATAGTAGATTTGAAAGAAAAGACTATTTGAAAAGTAATGTCAAACAGCTTCACTTTTATACTCTACAAATAATTCTATCATGAAATTTTGATATTAATTGAAGTTGTAATCTGTATTTAAAATATAAGTATTCTATCTTTATAAGATTTGAAAGATCAATATTTAATATTTCATTTGTATTCTTCTCATCATAAACAGGTGATTATACTTTCTTCTTCAAATAGATGAAGTATCAATGTCCTTCTCATCATATATTTGAAGAAATTTGAGTAAATCATAAATATAAATCTCAAGCATTTATTTAGTAAATAGAATGTGCGTGATTAATAAGAAGAAATATAATTATTAAATACAATATATGTTTAGGATATTTGAGAGATTCTATATTTGATTAAATAAGAGAAATATGGTAAAAACTAATTTACATTATATCGTGACTCTTTATCTCTGTCCAATTTTTAGGGCATGATTCATGATGAAGTTTTTTTTTTCCTTTTTGCTTTCGTCATATTTGTTTTTTTTTGTAATATTCAATGACGATCATTATTAAGAACAAGTAGAGATAAATCCCTACATGTTTTGATACATATTTCTTCGATTTCGTATTTGTATAAAGAAATTCATTAAAATTTTGTTAAAGATTTCAATAAACTCAATGAATATATGCTATGATATAAAAACTATTATTTCGTAATTATAAAAATATTATATTTCGAATAGTCTATGGCATGAAAGCCTTGACACAAAATATTCACTCATTTTTTCGGACATTAAAAAAGTATCATTTTTTATATATAGCCAGAAGTAGTTAATTTGAGTAAAAATTTTTCAATATATATTCAAAATTTCCTTAGACAACTATCATCAAATTGTTTTACAAGATTCAAAATAATATTTTAGTCAATGTTGTATTTCGATTTAAATTCAACATGAAAAACTATTTTTCTAATGGTTCAATTTGCTCTACGAAGCGTGCTAGTTACTTTGGCATGATAAATTTTAAAACTATTATTTTTTTTTTTAAAAGAATAGCGATTTTTTGACCAATGCTAATATCAATTGAAACTAGCACTTCTATGAGAAGGTACAGACAAGATTTTGTTCGTTTTAATACACAGCTCGAACGTAAGTATTTATTACTTATACTTTGTATACTATGTCAAAAAAATTATGACTATTTGTCAAATGTGCATCATATGTTTATATTTGTACATCGAGACAAATACTCTCGTACACTTGTATAGGTAGAAAAACCTGTACTTCGTTCGTTTACTTCTAATGCAAAACAATACCTTTTTGAGTATTTGAAGTATTTTTTTCGAACATTTCATCATTACTATCAACGACACAAAATATTGTAAATGATATTTTTGATATTAAAAGTTACAAATGAAGATTCCAAAGTGTTGATATAACGTCTAAATTTTTTTTTTCATTCTTAACTAAAAAATGTGAACATTGAAGCATGCAATGATTTATTTACAAATGTATTGAGAAAAACACAAAGAATATATGAACGCCTTGTATCTTCGTTATAATACTTTGAATTATATTATAATGTTTGTATTTTTCTAACTATAAACTCAACATTTTATATCAAAAATACGCTTCACAGTATTTTTAACGCTTGTAAAAAACATATTCGAAAGAGTACTTGAATTTGATAAAAATTAAAATAAAGAAATGAACGATGTTTAACCTAGAAATTATTAACGTTCGGACAGATGGGATGACTTAAAGTAAAAAAGAACCGGTGATTTCTACTGAAGTACGAACACAAATACAGAGGTGGGTAAAACTTGTGAAAAAAACAAGGTCAAATACAAGTAAAATACTTATACTTGCTGCAATATCTCATTTTGTACAGAATTATTGAACTTTTTTTAACATCATTTCGTAATAGTTCGTCATTCTTGGTTCAGAAAGAAAATCAGAACAAATATTCGGATATAGTGATAATTTCTGTTTCAAGTATCATTCAATAAATAATATGCATAAAGATAGTTCAAATTAAACTGAGATATACAGCAACCGGTCTAAGACTTTCATGTCTATCTCTTAAGAAGAGCCAAGCTTCGTCAGAATTATCGAAATTAAAATAAATACAAAGGAAGATACTCCCAAAGCCTGACATTTCAATAAATGTTATTTAAATTTGGACACCTCGGTTTTTTCTCAAAATTTTTTGTTGACTTCACTCATTACGCACTGGAAAAATATGTTGTTTTTAGAAAACATAGAAAATCTTTTTTCAATTTTTCACTGTTTATGTTTCTCCAGAATTTTCGAAGAAGTTTCATGGTAGCAAATTGATGTTGTTGTTTGAGAGAATATGTGAATTTGCAGGACGTGTAACAGTCCCTTTTTTGAGTTGAGCTTTATTATCTTTTGGGACATTAAAGATTTGTTCCCCTTAGAAAGTAAGAATTTTCCTCAAAGGAACTGCAGTTTTAGATGCTCTTTCAAATAAAAAAAATTAACTATATAGTACAATATGGAGATTGAACATGAGGAATCCTGATCTTTTTCTTCTCTCTGAAAATATTGAACAGACAAAAGCAGCTTATGTTAAATGATACTCTAGTAATAGTTTGACCCCTATTATCGAACAATGAACTTTTTTCTTTCAGGTATTGTACAATCACTAAAGATACTCTATCTATATTCATCACTAGTAAATCTCTTCATCAATATATATCATATAATCAATCTGCCAAAATTTCTTCTATCTGAATGTAGAGAATCGTTTACTTAAAAAAATGTAAAGTTCTTTTCATGTTTTCAAAACTATTAATTTTCAATATACAATATTTTATAGACGAAGAAATATTGTCTATTTATAAAGTTTAGTTCTTCATATACTTAATTGTCTTCTTGTAATATTGAACGTATTATGATACAATTCAATTGAAATACAAGATAACAGCTGATTTATTTCCCATCCAAAAAAATTATGTACGTATGTATGTATATCTCATGAATGTTACGCTATTCGGTAATCAGAGTAAAAAATGCACACGTTGATTGAATATCAAAATAAACAAACCATATCTAAATACAATATCCTAGAAATTTTTAATAATGATCAAATTTTCTCGTGAAGATTTATTCAAAAGATAAACATCAAGAACAATAAAACAATATTCTCTTCTTTTTTTTTTTTTTTTACACATTTTGATAAATTATCATTGGATGTTCTATAATGTAATATAAGTATCAAGGTATGTTCATCACATCTATTGAAATAGAATATTTATGACATATGCACACAGATTGACGTTTCTATTTTATTTTAGTCAAGCAGGTGTACTCCCATGAGTCCCATCAACAGCATTAGATCGTCCATCCTTGAAGAAGAAAATGTCCATTTTTGATTACATGTTTTAACATGTTATACAGTGGTCAACTGTCCAAATTTTTATATACAACGTCAATCGATCATTGATCATGTCTTTGACTTATGTATATCCAATAAAAAGAAAAATACATCAATGTACTTTTATACAAATATGAACATTATTTTTTATTTATGTTAAGTATAGTATTTGAACTTTATAATTACTTAGTAAAGTAGAAAAATAATCATTATATGATTATATTTACAACAAACACCACATGCTTGTTCATAGCAAGGCTATAATATTGACAAACATATACACACACACAATGATGTCTTCTCACGTTCATACATGCTGTGTTTTTAACGCACAATTGACATTTACGAACACATGAGGATATCCATGATGCAATCACTCAACCACCAGCTACTTTAGTCAATCATTAGTTCTTAGTTCTAATCAAGAGTAACTGATTAAATTTATAAATAAATAAATATATATATGCTTTTTTCTCTTTCTTAATCAATAATGTTTATATGTGATGTGTTTCCGTTCTAATAGGAGTATGCTTGTGTTCATCTATGAAGGTCATATACACATGTATAAATGAACTTTGCTTTGCTTGACAGAAGTTTGTTATGACTTTCTTTTTTTTTTTTTGTCTTTCTGTCTTTCTTTTAATATATGTGAAAAAAAAAGACAAAAATTTGATTAGTTTTTCCCAACATATCGATTAACGAGTCAATTTGACCAGAACAAAAGACGCGTGCGATAAGAAAGAAACAATCCCATATATAATATATATTAAAGAGAAAAATCTTATGGTGGGAAGAGATACTGCTGTTATAAGTACATCCATTGATCATCTTTTTTTTTTCTTGCTCCTATACATTTATTCAAAGTTTTGTGTCTTGTCAAAATTCATTGTGGTTTATATGTATCTTGCGTAAGAATTAATTTGTTTTAGTTTGATCAAGTCTCACAAGATGCTACGGTCACCTGGCTTTTTTT